TTTGAATATGTAGCTGAATCATCGAAACAAAAAGAAAATATTATAAAAACAAATCAAATTTCAAAACATTATCATACGATAGTTGAATCAGATAAGGGAAGTGAGATTGAATATGACTCAGATCCACAAATTGAATCTTCAGCTCAACATCACAACAGTGATCAAAATTCTGAAGATGATTATAATTTGGAAGATAAATTTTCTGAACTTGATTCAGATGATTTTGATTATACACGCCAACAAAAAAAAGGAAAATTCAAAGCAAATAAAATTCATGATGAGATTGATACAATTCAAGAAATGATTATAGCAAATCATCAAGAATTAAATATAAATAGTAAAAGAAAACATGATTTTGATAATTTAATCGATGAAAATGAATTGTTTGATAACAACATATCAGATGTTGAAGAAGTGTTTAAAACTAAAAAACCAAAATTTGATAGCATTTAGTTTTTATTTTTTTTTATTTATAAATATTTATTTAATATTATTATTTTTAAATTATATTTTATTTTAAATATAAATAAAGTATTATTTTTTAACTAAAAAATTTATTATTAAAATTTTGTAAAATGGCATCTAGTTCGAGAACTACTAATGAAATTCGACAACAAAATTTAATATTACTTAGAGAAAATACAAATTCTCTTCAAAGAATTATAGTACTAAAGGCTGATCGTGAAGAACTATTAAGAACAAATGCTCAATTATGAGATCAAATTCTAGAATTACAAAATAATATCGATAATTTAACTAATCAAAATCGAGAATTAATACATTTGAATAATGCATTAAAATTGGTTACTGCAGAAGCTTTAGATAAGGCGACTCTTTATCAAACTGAAAATCTTGCAGTATTCGAGAAAAAAGTTGATGATTTTATCTTTTTTGGTTTTTTAAATGAATTTGAGTTAAATAATATTTTTCTTCAAAATATTATTAATTTTATTATAATGTATTGCTTAACGATTAAAGAGAATCATTATTTTAAAAAAATTTATCAATTAGTTATCTTTTGTTTATCAATCGCTTATAATTTTTTGACAGGATATGATCGTCTACGCGTTATTGAATACATTCTTGCAAATATGTTTATTTTGGGGTGGTTTTATTATTATATTAATCAAAAATGGCCTGCTCAATATATTATGTTAGCAATTTAAATATAATATTAAAGGATTATTTTTTGTAATTTTTCTCACATTTGTTTATTTTTTTTATTTTAATAAACATTAAATATTTTTATAACAATGTAACAATTTTAAAGTTGTAAAGTTGCAAGATCGGCATGTGATGTTTCTTGGCGGCTGGGAGGTGAGGGGCCCAGCCATATAGTAACATCGTTAATGCTGATCTTGCTCATGTTATTTATACCCATGCATAAGCAATTGCGAGAACAGCACCGCCCACCGGCGCGGAGGCGAAAAAAAGAAATAAAATAAAATTAATAATAATAAACTATTATATTTTTAATTGTTTTTAACTTGGTTTTAT